GTTTTCTTATGAAATGGTAATTGTGATTTCTTTCCTCTCTATGATAGATTATTAATGCAATCATGAGTGGGTGGAATACTGGAAAATATAGATGTATACTCATGATTATTGTTGTTGGAGAAGGAGTTTGTGTCCACAACTCTAGTTCTCCCAAATGGAGTCCCAGCCCTTTGCTTTCTCTATCTTCCTCTTTCTTTCAAACTCTTTAATTTCGCGCGGCCTTTTCACCTTAGTGCATGTGAAAAATGATACTAAAAAACAAAGTTATAAGTGTAATAACATATATTATCAAATGATAATGTAATTAAAATTTAAATGATCTTGGAGTGTAATTAAAAGAAAATTTAACAATTGTACGTATAATTTTGAGATGTTTCAAACCTGCAAACCTCTACCTTCCTCCCACTTCAATTTCTTTATTATTAATTTATGTAAAGAATTTAAGAACTGTGCTCATAAGTTCTTATAGAAAATGTTGTACTGTATATATTATTATATGGTACTCTGTACAAGATTACAAAATAAAAAAAAAAATCAATGCCCATCGTCTTCTATTCTATAGGTTGGATTCCCCACTCTAAGGGACCCCCCACCCCTCACACCGTAGTTCGTCTGCACTATAAAAAGATACAAATCACGATAATTCAATGACTCAATCAGCATGTAAGGCTAATTGCACCCAAATACTGTCAACACTGAACAAGCGAGCCCGTATCTTCTATTCTGTTCTATTTAATATGCACCACAATCCTTGCTGGGTACGCCACGGTGCACAACAAAGATCAGTAATAGCCTGGTGGTGCAAGCTTGCCAGAGGACGGCGCCACGGCGGAGATGGTATCCTTGCCACAGAGGTGAGTCCCAAAATCAGCATCCTTTGGCCCTCAGAGTACCCGTGAGTGGTGAAAGGCGGCGGATACATGGTAACTTAATACTAGACATGTCGCCGCATCATCTAGCTTGAAATGGATATTGAAATTCTTTCCATAAACCAATTCCGTTTGGGAAAGCTTCTCCACGATCTGCGGCCGAAACTTTTGCAGTGCGGGGGCTAAGTACGGCGGCGAGAATTTCTCGACGCGCATGTCGGTTGGGTATTTGGCTTTCATATCGTAGGAATCGTGGGTGTTACTTCCGCTACTAAGATCTTAGCGTCGGGCAAAACCGCAGAAGTGGAATGGTACATTCTGGCAATTTTTGTTGGTGTCAACTCAGTAAACCTTTCCCCTTTCGGTTTATCCGGGCTGTAAAGCACCGGAGTGAAATTTGGTTCCTCCGCCCCGTCCCAACCAGAGGTCCCGGTTTTCGCGCCATTAATTATGAGGACATTCCCATCGGGGAGAATCAACATATCTCCCATAACCCTCCCCGACGGCATCTCCTCAATTTCCCACTTGGCCCCTTCCTGATTCGCAACAATCCTGCCGCAATCCTTTAACGCCGGCGGAAATTGCCTCGGCGGATGCTCCGTGACCTTGAAGGCTTCGTGTGTATTGCCGCCGCAAACCAAAACCTCCGCCTTCACAAAATCATTCGCTTTGGTGAGTTTGAGAGGAAGAAGCGCGGATTGCCCCGAGGCCGGGTAGTTCCGGGACCCCCCTGGCAGCTTAGGAAGCTCCCGAATCGTCTTTCCGGTTCTAGGGTTGAAAATAATGGAGCGATCGTTGGCGAAGAGGAAGACATTGCCGTCGGGGAGGAGGTACACAAATGGATACAAATTATTCTCCAGAAAGCCGTCGGTGGTTTCCTCGAGCAGCCGAAGCGGAAATTGTTTGTTCGGGAATTTAAGCTGATCTGGCGGGACAATTTCATAGTTGTGAGATTTTCTTCCTCCCACCACGATAAAATCACCATTTTCCAAGACTTGTTGAGAAGCATACCTGCCAGTTCAGTTCAACGTAGTAAATTAAATTAAATTAAATTAAATTAATTATTATAAGATCAGAATTTGAAAATAATAATGCTTACCATCTGTTTGCAGAAAGTCCAACATCTTCCTTGAAATCGCATAAATCGCAGGGTTCCAGGATTCTAATTCCTCGAAAACCTTTGTCGTAGCCTCCGGTGCTTATCAATTTTCCGGTGCTCGACAGCCCTCCCGACGAGCACCATGTATTCAGGCTCAACTAAACATACATGCATAAAAACAATATAATTAATTAATTAATGAAATAAATTGTACCCAGGCCAGGCCAGTATTATATATATACCTTGAGTGTCTTGACAACTTTAGCGGTGTCGAGATCATAGGTAACGCCATGAGCCCAGCAGTCTTCACGGCCCTTATCATCTTTTCTGCACCACTTAGGATTCTGCATCAGTGCGGAGCGACCAAGATTAATGGCGTCATACCAGACAACCCTGTTGTTTGTCATCAACTGCATGTGCATGGCGGAAACACCCACGTTTTCAGTTACAGTTTGCCAGCTCGAGGCTGAAGGATTCATCTCCAAATCTGGTTTCCCATAGGCGCTGCAAACAAACAATACAAGAACATAATAATAAGCTACTGTTATTGACGCCATTGGAGAAACACGATCTTTTATTTATATCTAGCTTCTCCAATGGACTAATTCTTTTTATTTATTTCTCGATGTTCGATGTTCGATGTTCTTCGTCCTGCCTACCTCTTCACATATATATACTTGCATTATTGCGCTACTCAGATTCAAATGCCTACAATTATGGATATCCACTATTATTATATACAAACAAACTACCTAGCTCTTGCCTCATGCCCATCAAATTTTATTTTCTCAGCTCTCCCCTCCCCTCCCCTCCCCTCTTCTTTTTATTTTATTAAAATGTTAAGTTAATTAATTCATGGACAATTTTACATAATGCAATCAAACATTAGAAAGGAAAATGCATGTTTTCTGGAAATTAAAATAACTTATTTTCCAGAAGTCATTTTCCTGCCGCAGAAGTCATTTTTCTACAGCTTTCTAAACGAACCAAAAGAAATTTATGATGCAAGTATCTCTCTTACTAGGATTTAAAAAAAAAAAAAAAAAGATTATGAAATTTAGTGACTAATATTAGTTAATCCAATTAAGTTAAAACTAGAGTTAATTCTATTTTTTGTCATAGATTTATAGATGGCTTGACTATCGGATTTAAGTCCTTCATGGTGTTAATTTCTCCTGTGTTAAGCGATCTGCGAATCGTGCTGCCCACATTGGTGCTCGGGAAGCCGTTTCTGAGTTAGGTTGAGGGGAATGGTTTGACATTCCACCTCATTTTCTTGTTGATTGTCTTAGCTTGCTTCTAATTTAATGAATTAAGTCCTTTAGCTCAAAAAAAATAAAAAATTGGTCATGCAACAATAACACTAGGACTAAATGTGCATGTTCTAATAAATAAAAAAAATAGACTAAAAATGGGCTGTCACCTATAAATTTAAGACAAAAATAGAATTAACTCTTAAAACTAATATCATATATAAATCTTCTTTCCTCATCCTCTCATTCTCCTTCTCTTCTCCTCCTCCTTCTTCTCCTTTTTTTTTTTTTTTTTAAAAAAAAAAGGTATTTTAATAAAAAGTTTAACATAAATTTGATCACTTTAGCCATTTTATCATGTCAAAAAATGCTAAAAAATTACATTATGTTCTTAATCCAAAATGCTAAACATTCGTGTTACGGTTAAAGCAACATTTTTGACTTGATATTTTGATTAAAAAAAAAAACATATCTCTTTTTTCAAAGCCTTATTATTATAAATGTTACTAAATTATTAAATAAAAAAAGAAATAATTAACTTAAGAGTTAAGACTATCACAAAATGATATAGTAAATTATCTCTTTCCAATTCATAAAGAGATGTGAAATGCATGATTTACGTACTCACTTACTATACAATATGAAAATTTGAGCACACGTCTCTCTTTTTATTGAGGATTCCATGCTCCTTTGAAAGTAAAATTAGTAATGAAAGGTCTCACGTAATGAAATTAACTCTTAAAACTAATATCATATATAAAGAGTTAATTCCATTGAAGATCCCTTGTCTTTGGTGACAATTTCAAATTTAGTCACAGACTATCATTTTTGTCATTTAACATCCCAGACTATTATTTTTTGGACGCTTTTAGTCCGTCTCATGACTTTTCTTATTTTTAGTAAGTGCATTTTTGTCTCTTTAAATTTTTCTTTTGTTATTTTTTCAATTTCAACTGCTTTAATTGGTTTAGAAATTTACGAAAAGCCGGTTGAAAAATATAGTTAGAAAAAAATCACAGGTTACCTAAAGCCCTAAACTAATTAAACCGGTTGAAACCGAAATAAAATAACAAAATAAAAATGTGTAAAGACAAAAAAAAAAAAAAAAAAAAAAAAAAAAAAAAAAAACCCTTACTAAAAATATGAAAAGTCATGACAAGGACTAAAAGTGTCCAAAAAATGATAGTCTGTGATGTTAAATGACAAAAATGATAGTCTGGGACTAAATTTTAAATTGACACCAAAGACAAAGGACCTCAAAAGGAATTAACTCCATATATAAATCTTCTTTCCTCTCCCTTGGCTTCCTCTTCCTCTCATTCTCCTCCTCCCCTTCTTTCTAACCACTCATTCTCCTTCTTCTTCCTCTCCTTTAAAAAAAAAAAAAAGCATTTTAATAAAAAAGTTCAACATAAATGTGATCACTTTAGTCATTTTATCATGTCAAAAATTGCAATGGGCACCAATTTTCATTATGTATTTAATTCAAAAGGCTAAACATTAGTGTTACGCTTAAAGCAACATTTTTTACTTGATATTTCAATTTAAAAAAAAAAATAGATCTCTTTTTTCGAAACCTTATTATTATAAATGTTAATAAATTACTAAATAAAAAAGAAAAAATTAACTTAAGACTATCACATATAGGGGCTGGTACCTAAATGTCAAAATGAATTTTGTCAAAAACACCAATACTGGAAGAAGAAGATGAATTAAAAGGTAGTTTGCTAAGATTGTCTAATTGACAACTTTCACAAACAATGTCCAGCTTGTTATTTGAACTAACATGAATTAAATTCTTAGTGCGTAATAATTGAACAGTGGATTTTTGCGGATGTCCAAGGTGTTGGTGCCACAGCTCTTCATTCTCTAACTTTTGTCTATTGGAAAAGTGTGCTTCCTTTGGTTTGGATTAAAAAAAAAAAAAAGATCCCCTTTACGTTGACCCACTATTATGGCTCGACTTGTTGCTCGTTCCTTAGTGCAGAAAATCTTATCGGTAAATTCACAATTTAAAAGGATATTGTCATATTAACTGACAAATAGAGAGTAAATTACGACTTAGTTGGGGTACATGATGGACATCACGGACTAATAAATCATTCTTACCATCCAAAACTAGAACATCCCCAACAGTATCTATTTTTAAGTGAGAACCATCACCAATGAATATTTAAAAATGACCAGCATATTTGTTTTAAGATTTAGTAACATACCTGAGTTTGCAGTCATATGATTTGAGGCCATCTCGTGAGATAAGAAAAGAGGTAAGCCATCTTGCTAGGACTTGGGGCAATTCCATTGCACTGTCTTCGAAAAAGCGTAGAACTCTACGTGAAGTCGGTTGTCCCAATGGTGATGTCTTAGGAGATGAGAAAAAAATAGAGCAAAAAGAGGGAGTCATTTCTTATATCGGGATCACAAAAGACTTCCTCGAGTTAAAACAGAGAGATCTATTCCGTGGGGAGTCGATCTTTGGCATAAGGGTGGAAGTGTGTGAGAACCAGCGATGAGATAATTAGTTTAGCATTCAACGTTAACAATGATAAGGATTACAATACTAATAGCATAACAACTCTAAGTAATCCCTATCAACTAGGAAGACTAAGCCTATTACAAAGACTAGTCAACATAATAACAATAACAGTAAACTATTAATAATAATAACAATAATATTGCTAACTTGCTAACACACCCCCTCAAGCACAAGGGTGGTATGCCACAACATTGAGCTTGTCACGTAGCGTTGCGAAGCGTGGCCCCGGGAGCGGCTTCGTGAAGATATCTGCTAACTGATCTTCAGTTGAGACATAACTAACCAATAGATCACCGGATGCAACCTTATCGCGGACGAAATGGAAATCTATTTCCACATGCTTGGTCCTGGCGTGAAAGACTGGATTCGCACACATGTAAGTGGCACCTAGATTATCACACCAGAGCGTCGGTGGGACACCAGTATAGAGCCCTAGTTCTCGTAGTAACGACACAATCCAAGTAACCTCGGCTGCAACATCAGCTAGGGCTTTATACTCAGCTTCAGTCGACGAATGAGCCACTGTGCATTGCTTCCTCGAGAGCCATGAGATGAGATTAGCCCCTAGAAACACTGCGTATCCACAAGTGCTCTTCCTGTCCAGCGGACAGCCTGCCCAAAATGAGTCAGAGTAAGCATGAAAAGCAGAAGACTCGGACACCGTGAGCTGCAAGCCGTAGTCAAGAGTACCCTTGATGTAGCGAAGTTCCCTCTTAGCCAATGCCCAGTGGTCAGCTGTTGGCGAGTGCATAAACTGACATAGCCGATTGATGGTGTAGGATAAGTCTGGCCGAGTGATGGTTAAGTACTGAAGCGCCCCTACCACACGACGATATTGAGTCGGGTTGTCATGTGCGTTAGTTGTACATGAGGCAGAATGAGAAACCGCAGCTGGGGTAGCTAGTGGTTTGCAGTCAGTCATGCCCGCTCGGGCCAAAATATCTTTCATATACCTGCGTTGGGACACCATGAGCCATGTGTCAGTCTTAACGGTCTCAATGCCGAGAAAGAACTCGGGTGTTCCAAGATCTCGGATTTTGAAAGTCAATGAAAGCCGATGCAGGAGTGATTTAATGAGTGACGGGTCATTTCCCATCATAATAATATCGTCAACGTATACTAGTAAGTATACCCGTGAGGCAGCAGAAGAGTAATGGAAGAGAGATACATCTGTCTTCGATGATAAAAAACCTGCAGAGATTAAATAGTCATGCAATCTTTTGAACCATACCCGGGGGGCTTGCTTGAGTCCATACAAAGATCGTTGTAAGTGACACACGTGATCCGGGTGTGTCGGGTCTTCATAACCCGGGGACTGCTTCATATAGATCGTTTCCGCCAAGTGCCCATTTAAAAAGGCATTATGGACATCAAGTTGTCTCAGAGTCCAATTATGTGACACAGCTAGCGAAAAAAGGAGCCTGACTGTAGTCGGCTTAACCACAGGGCTAAAAGTGTCGAAGAAGTCTTCACCAGCCACCTGATTGAACCCCTTTGCTACTAGCCGAGCTTTGTACCGCTCAACTAAACCATCAGCGGTGCGTTTGGTACGAAACACCCACTTGCACCCGATGATGTTCACGTCTGGTCTGGGAGGTACAAGAGCCCAAGTATTGTTGTGCAACAGAGCGTTGAACTCCTGGTCCATCGCATCACACCACTCTGGGTGCCCAACTGCCTGTGAGTAGCAGGTGGGCTCAGTAATAGCACTGAGAGCTTGAAGCTCTTCCCCAGTTCCCCGAGTCATGTGACGTAGGCGCATAGTGTGACCACGATCTTGTGGCTCAGTCCTAGCTGCTCACTTTCTGCGAGTCACGGCCCTGACAGGCCCTTCAATAGCTAAGG